GGCACCGCGGCGCCGCCCGCCTCACGCTGGCCCGCCCGCCAGGAGTGCCGTGTCCTCAAGAACTTCTCGTCGCTCTACGCCATCCTCTCGGCCCTGCAGAGCAACTCCATCCACCGCCTGAAGAAGACGTGGGAGGAGGTTTCCAGGTGGGCGTCCCTCCCCGCCTTGGCCGCGGTCAGCGGCCGGGTCCCTGCCCCGGGCGCCTCGTGGCTCAGTGGGAGCGGGGCAGCCGTGTGCACACCTGGGCGCTGAAGTGAGCCGGACCCCCCCCCAGGGACAGCATGCGCATCTTCCAGAAGCTGTCGGAGATCTTCTCCGACGAGAACAACTACTCGCTCAGCAGAGAGCTGCTCATCAAGGTGAGCTCGGAGCTGTGTGCCGGCCCCCAGAGGGCGGGCGGTGGGCAGGTCAGCGCCCTGCTTGGTTCCCTGGCAGCTGGCTGGCGGCTGGGAGGCCCCTCCCCAGCCCAGGCCGGGGGAGAGCCGGGGGCGGCCTCACGGGCGGCCCCGCAGGCCGCCGGCGTCTGGCCTCACGCCCGCCTGAGGTCAGGGGTCGGGGCTGCAGACGGTGGGGTGGGGAAAGGCCTCGCTGACCCCGTCCCCCTGGCAGGAGGGCACCTCCAAGTTTGCCACCCTGGAGGTGAACCCCAAGAGAGCCCAGAAGCGGACGAAGGAGACGGTGAGTGTGTGCGCGGCCCGGGTGGGGCGGCCTCCCAGGGCCTGTCCCCGCTGCCCCGCGGGGTGGCCTTTGACCCGTGGCCTGCTCCGGCCCTGCTGTCTCGGGGCCGGTGGCCGCTGCCAGGCCGAGCGGGTCTCGGGTGTGAGCTTGAGGTGCGGCCTGACCGGGGGCCTGGGGGCTGGCCAGCAGCATCTGGTGCCTGGGCGGCCTGGGTGGGGCCAGGGGCCTTGGCCTTGCTCACGGGCCCCTCCCCGCCCTAGGGTGTCATCCAGGGCACCGTCCCCTACCTGGGCACGTTCCTAACGGACCTGGTGATGCTGGACACCGCCATGAAGGACTATCTGTATGTGAGTGAGCTGGCCGTGGGCAGCCGCCTGGGGACCGCGTCCTGTGAGCCGGTGGCCGCGCCCGGCACTGTGGTGGGGGGTCGGCAGCTGCGGTAGGGGGTCGGCACCCTGCCGGCGAGCCCCGGGCAGCAGGAGGCCCTGGCCGAGCTGGACACAGCGTGGCCCCCGGCCCCTCCGCTGTGGCGGAGGCCAGGGTGTGTGGCCACGTTGGGTGGAGGGCCTGCGCCCGGGGCACCAGCGCCCACCGGAGGCCCTGTGCTGGGAGTCTCCTGCCCCCTAGTGCGTGGGCTCGGCAGTGCGGCCTGGGGGCGGCGCAGGGACCCTTCCTGACCGCCCTGGCTGTCTGCCTTGCAGGGGAGACTGATCAACTTCGAGAAGAGGAGGAAGGTGAGCAGCGCAGCCCACCTGGGGACACTCACTGGCTTCACCGCCTTCCTCCCCGATAGCGAGGGGACCCCAAGAAACGGGGGGCAGGGGTGGGGGTAGACAGGAGGGGCCCGGAGACTGGCCTCGTGCGCCCAGAGCCACCCAGCACCCCACTCGCGCCCCCACAGCTCCACCCAGGCTCCCTCAGGCATCCCTCCGGGCCCACCCAGTGCCCCTTCCCCAGGCCTCGGGCTCCGGCTGGCCGCGCCCAGTGGCCCGGCCTTCACCCCGCCCCTCGTCGCAGGAGTTCGAGGTGATCGCGCAGATCAGGCTGCTGCAGTCGGCCTGCAACAGCTACAGCATCTCGCCGGACCGGCGCTTCCAGGCCTGGTTCCGCAG